TGAGAAATATTTTAAAAAGAAATTTTCAAAGTAAAAAACAAGGTTATCCTAATTGCACAAACTATCAGTATCTACAATACTTTACAAAGTACTGCTTGGAGATATTCATGTTTTCAGGTACCATAAGATCACTGAGATTTTCTGAGTAATTTGAAAAAAAAATCAAAGAAATACTTAATGTTCAATATAGATTCTGTTGGAAACATGTTTTGCTTTCTCAATCAATAATCCATGCATTGAATATATGTGAACTTTTAATTTATTATGGCATCCTTTTAAAATTATTTTGCTTATATAGTTTATCCAATACTTTTAAATCAGTTTTTTGATTTAAAAAAAGAAAAATATATTTAATGTTATGCCACAATTTTGAAAATTGTGTTTTCAGATAGTAAACTGATATTTAATGTTACAGGCTTGGTATTTTGTAAATATCAGACACTTTAATAATAATAAGGATGATGTCTTTTAGGTTTTTACTTTAAATTCTCAAAAACAGTTATAACCACCAACTTTTAAATTTTATGTTTTAAGCATGAAGATTGATGACAGTTTTGAATAGCAAACAGAAAACTTAGAAGCTCATAAGCTAGCTTTTATAGTCATGCCTAAATTTATGTAACTTATTTAACTTTTATAGGCTTCATTTTGATTCCTGTGATCCTTGACACGTCTAATGTTGTTTGTTATGAGTAGATGCAACATTTTTATATCTTCCCTAATACATGAACTAATTCAGTCTCCAGTCAAATTTAATAAAATTATGAATAAATAACACAAACACTGTCTCAAGCACTATGCAGTCACAGCGGAGGTTTCACCATTGCAGGCCCGTATGCTAAGGGAGTTTTTCTGTCTTTATTCTCTTTATAATGGCTTTGCCATTATGACAAAAACAAAAAAGGTTGATTCTGAGTGGTAAGGCAACGATTTCCCCAGTGATTTCTTGATAAGTCAGCTTCATGAGGAAACAGCCTAAGAAATCATTCTCAAAATTCAGATTCACACTATTTTTAAATCGGACTTGAGAGACAGGCAAGCCACTTGCAGGGACAGGCTCAGCAGAGGAGGAAGTGCCTGGGGCCCTAGCAGCTGACTGCCCCAGGCAATGTGTAAAGACAGAACTGCTCTCTGAACTGGGAAGGTACCTCGCTGGACAGATTTGCTTCTTGGAGTTGCTGATTTTTTTTTCTTCTTTCTTTTTGGTTTTGACTCAAGATGGAGAAATCATTTTGCCCTGACATTATTAAAAAAAAAAAAGTCAGGCAAGACTTAACTCATGAGATGTATATTCTCTTCTCTGTATGTGCCTGTAACTCCCACTGACAGTGATGGCAGTTATGCAGATGCATGCAGAAGAAAATAGACTCTTTTTAACATTAAACATCAGATTTGGGTCTCCCCAGAGAAAGCTGGTTACTGGAGTGGCTGTGAATGATGCATTTTCACGGAATGTTCCAGCCATAAATCAATCCTGAATCATACTTTTCCTAGAGTTCTTTGCTGTTCTTCTGAAATCCTAGTATATCACGCACGCACAGACTCTATTTCTGGCTGAGCTTAAATACATTTACCAAAATAAGATTCAAATAATTAAATGTGACTTTTATAATTGTTTTCCTCTGAAGATCCAGAGCCTAATCTGGCTGTGGTTAATGGTTTTAATTTGACTTATAATACAGTGTCAGTTTATTTAGTTGAAATTAGTTTTCTATTTCTCTCCTTTTTGTAAGCTCTGCCTGTTTACTTAACAATATTTGGCTTTGCCTAATGATATGTACAGAAGACAGTGCTAAGTGGAACATCAGCTGTTTACATCAGCTCTAACAATTAATGCATGTTAATTTTTAATTACACTGATTGTACTAGAGGCAGAATGTATGTTTCTTCACAGAACAGATGTACTAGTCATCTTGGCTGGTGAACATGCATATCGATCAGATGTTGACGCTGCCAGCAATTCAGCAAAGTCTGCTAAGAGTGTCGGCTTCTAATGTACTTACAAGTTTACGGCTTAGAGTCCTGGTAGAGGAAATACAGCTCGATGCTACATCCTCTAATGTTTACAGATAATCACAATATGTCTGTTTTGTGGTTAGCCTTCTACTGTGTGTGATTAGACGACTGAGTAGGTATGCGGGGACCTAAAGGTGTCTTCACTTGTGGACTGCATTCTCTGTGCTTATTTCGAGGCACTGTCTTTCAAGATTTTATTTTGCCATTAGGAATTTTTTTTAAACTCATGGTTGTTGTGTTAATATAAGGTGCTCAACATGGATAACCACTATCGCTACAAGGAGAAATTGAAAAGATAATCTAGTTACTTGCAAAGAAATCTGTCTCTATTCAGTATTATTACCTGAGCTAGTTGGAAAATATATAGAAAATCCCAAATAATAAGATAGACAGCAGAAAGGCCTCAGTCAACTGACAATTAATTGAGAGGTATTTCTGAATATTTCAATATGCTGAGCATTTCACTAAGTACTACAGGTTGTCTAGCCAAGGGGGACAGAAGAATATCTCAAGGTCTTTTGCCCTTAGGGGACTCATACTCTTTTTGGAGAGATAATGCTCACATACAGAAAACAATTAAAGAATAGTTTTATGCTGAAATTGATAATGCCTGGTTGATAATCGGTACACTCTTTTTAATAAGAAATGTGAAGAAAATGCTTTATGATCGAGTTGAACTAGAGTTGAACTGGAGTTGTTTACCTTCAAAATGTGGTTTGGATATATAAGTATGAAGCAATTGTTTCTTAATTAGCTTTGCCCAAATCTTCTATGTTATTTTACAGATAAGAATATCAAACTAAAACATGTTTTATTTTCCTTTAGAATATTCCCAACTATTGCCCTCCAAAACTTTTCTAAAGTAATTCCTTGGGTCTCTTTTTTCTTATGGGTAAATAATGATTGCCCAATTTAATAGTTTTGACCCAGTGATTGGACTTTGGGGTTATAATTTGGTGTGTGTGTGTGTGTGTGTGTGTAAATTAAAAGAAGATAAAAACTGATCGTGAAATATATGGAAATGCAAAGAGCCAAAAAATAGCCATGGTAATCTTACCTAGGAACAAAGCTGAGGAACATACACCTTTAGATATCAAAATGTTGTAAAGCTTGAGAAATTAAGCCAGTGTGGTACTGGTGCAGGCATAGATAAAAACATCAAAGCAACTAAGCAAAGAATTTAAAAGTAGGCCTGCTTATAAAGTGACAATTTAGAGGGGACAATGTTGTCTTTTTAATAAATGATGATGGACCAATTATATATATATAGATAGATAGATAAAAATGGACTTTAAACTCTGTTCTATGCTGTGCACAAATAGTAATTTAAGGTGGTTTCTAGATCCAAGTGTGAAATGTAAAACTATCAAGTTAATAGGAAAAAACAAAAGACAATGTATTTATGACCCTGATGGAGGAAAAGATTTCTTTAAAATTATACCAAAATATTAGCCAAAAGAACAGATTGTTAAACTGGAGTTTATTAAAATATCTAATTTTATTAATCAGGAGACATCATTAAAATAAGGAAGAGATGGGCCACAGACTAGGAGGAGATATTTTCAATGCATTTATCTGATATAATATATAAAGAACTTGTAAAAAATAAATAGAAACAGACAACCAAACAATTTTTTTTTAAAACTATGGGCAAACAACAACAATTGGGATCTGAAATAAACTAATAAGTAGTTGAATAATTGGCCAACATATGACAAGATACTTAACATCGTTTGTTTTCATGGAAATACAAATTATAACTATAATAAAATACCACTAGGGCCCTCTCAAAAGGGCTAAAATTAAAAGGACCAGACAATATAAGGCAAATTTTGGGTAGGCTATGGAGCAATTAAAATCCTCATTTACTGAAGGTGGGAATATATACTGGAAAATTAATTTAGAGAAATTAAGAAATGTTACTAAGGCTAAACATACATATATTCTATGACCCATAAATTCTATTTCTAGAAATATGCTAAGAACAAATGACTGTTTATGTTCATCAAAAAATGTATGAAAATTGTCATAGGGGTTTTATTTATAATAGCCTGAGACCACATAACATTCAAGAGGATAGTGGCATATTCGTGAAATATTATCCAGAAAAGGAAAAGAAATTACTGCTACATGCAAACGTAGATGTATCTCAGAGGCACAACAGTGAGTGAAAGAACCAACCATAACAAGAGAACACTCATATGATTCTATTTACATAGAATAGAATCTGTTAATATTTTTGCAGTTGAAAAAAAATGGCTGCCATTTGTAACAATGTGGTTGGACCTGGAGGGTATATGGTTAGTAAAATAAGTCTGATCGAGAAAGACAAATACTGTATGTTATCACTAACATGTGTAATGTAAAAAATAAAACAAGTGAATGAGTATAACAAGACAAAAACAGACACATATTTAGAGAAGAACTAGTGGTTACCAGTTGGAAGAGAGGTGAGGAGAGGGGCAAGATAGTGGTAGGGGGTTAATACATACCAGCCACTATGTATAAAATAAATAAAATACGAGGATAAATTGTCCAGCATGGGGAAGATAGCCAATATTTTACAGTAACTTTAAATGGACTATAATCTATAAAAATATTGAATCATTATGTTGTACAGATGAAGCTAATATAATATTGTAAATCAAATATACTTAAAGAAAAAAAAAACAAAATGAGAATTTCACTTCTCCAGTGACTATGTGAGGAGCTCCGCAAGCCCCACTCCCCAGTAACACTGGTGAAAATTATAAATAAAAATAACTGTTTAATATTTTAGGAAGTGCTCCTAAGGGTATACAATAAACAAAGAAATATTTATTCAAGAAAATTTCCTATAACTCAGTAAGAACTGCAAGAGTCTGGGGTATTTAAATAAGGACTCATGCCCTTCATCCCTTCCTCCTCCCAGCTGAGTGAGACACAAATTCTACTCCAGACTGGAGCAGCCAAAAACCAAGGTTTCTCTCTCTCTCTCTCTCCAGCAATAAGTTAAAGGACTGTCTTTCCTGTGAGTGCAGAATACCAGCAGTTCTCATCTTGCTCCCAGCTACCTGTTTCTGAAGCTCAGGTCCAGGTGAGTGTGGCTGAGAGGTGAGGGCACGCTTATTCTGTCTAGTCATTACTCAAGGGACAGAGGCTCTACCTATGGTATGGTGTTGCTGAGAATTCTGGAGCGCCTGATTATCCTCACTCTGGCTCATGAGGCAGGGTTGCATGCCAACAACAAGAGATGCAAGTCAGAAACTGGGCTTTTTGGTGAAAAGCAATTGACAGGAGATTAATATATTTATAGGAAATATGAGCTAAACTGTAGGACAGGTGGTATACTGGAGAGAAATGGGAAAAGAGATATTTAGAGGAGCTCTCTTGAGATCAGAACAAATCTCTGAACTTGGAAACTATATCTACAATATCCCCAAATTTGACTGAATTTGTTGTGAAGCAACAGATACAGGAAAAGATATTTAATGTCATTAATCATCAGGGAAATAAAAATCAAAGCCACAATGAGATATCACCTCACATCTGTTGGAATGGCTATAATCAAGAAGACAAGCGATAACAAGTGTTGGTGAGGATGTGGAGAAAAGGGAACCCTTGTGCACTGTTGGTGGAAATGTAAATTCTTTCAGCCACTGTGGAAAACAGTATGGAGTTTCCTCAAAAAAATAAAAAATAGAACTACCAGATGATCCAGCAATCCCACTTCTGGGCATATATCCAAAGGAAATAAAAAGAAGGTATCAAAGAGATCTGTATACTCCCATGTTTATTGCAGCATTATTTCACAGTAGCCAAGATAGGGAAACAACTTAATTGTCTGTCAGTGGATGAATGGGTAAAGAAAATATGGTATTATAAATACAGGGAAATATTATTCAGCCATGATAAAGAAAGAAGTCCTGCCCTTGTGACAGCATGGATGGACCTAGAGGACTTACGCTAAGTGGGACAAACCAGACAGAGAAAGACAAATGCTATATAATATCACTTATATGTGGAATCTGAAAAAGTCAGACTCATAGAAACCAGGGTACAATGGTGGTTACCAAAGGCAGGAGGTAGGGAAATAGGGAAGATGTTGGTAAAGGTTACAAGTCTGCAACTAAAAGATGAATAAGTTCTAGAGATCAAATGCACAGCATAGCAATTATAGTCAACAATACTTCAAAGTTGCTGAAGATACTAGATCTTTCCTTACCACAAAAAAGAAATAATAATTATGTGAAGTGATAGATTTGTTAGCTAATGCTAAAGTGAAAACCACATTGCAATATATAAATGTATCAAAGCAACATGTTGTACAGCTTAAACTTATACAATGTTGTATGTTAGTTTTATCTCAGTTAAAGTAAATTAATATAAAAATAAAAAGAAATAAGTTGTACATGATAAAAGATCTAATGATAAACAAAAATTTCAACCTAACTTCAGGAAGATGTATGTCAATTTTGTCTTTATAGTCTTAAAGAAAGTATAAGCATGTCACAATGCCCCGAAGCTGTTGTCTTTCACCTGGTCTATTGTGATATCCTCCTAAATGTTCTCCCTGCTTCAGCCTTCATTCTCATTCTCTGTGGTGTATTCTCTGTAGCACAGGGAAAAATGATCCTTTAAAATGAAGTCAGATACACTGCTCAGTGGTTTCTCACACCACTGCTTACAAGGCTCTGCCTGGTTTGATACCTGCCACTCCTCTGACCTCATCCACTACCACTTACCTTCCTCTCATCACTTGGCCTTTGGCCTCTTTGTTACACTTAGCACAATCCTGTGTCACTCGCTGTTTCCCTGCTTGGAAGGCCCTTCCCTATGTGGTTCACTCATCCACTTCCTTCTGGGATCTGATTAAACATCAGCCTCTCACAGAGGCCTTTCTCAACTGCTTTATGTACATGGGCAGCCCCACACCCCCAACGCTTTTTGACTCTTTCTCCCCTTATCATTTGCGCATCATAGGAATCACCTTACATTAATATTGTTTTTGTCTATCTTCCTTCATTAGATTGTAAATGTTTTTCATCCTTTTGTATCTTGGGCTTCCAGAAGAGAGCCAGAGATATAAAAAGATTGTATACTGTGCCAGTAAAAAGACTGGCACAGTATAGGTGCTTAATAAAAAAAAAAAGTACTGGCTTATACATGCATAGATTCAATATATGTGTAAAGTATTTAGATGTGTGCTAGGTGCATATTAAATGCTCACAAGTGTTAACTACTATTATTATTATATACAATAATGTGGGAACTATTACAGTTGTACATGGGAGAAAATGTGAGGCAATGAGAGTTTAAGTAACTTGCCCAAAGTCGTGCAGCTAAGAAATGACATTACCAAGATTTGAACCAAGGCAGTCTGACTCCTAAATTCATTCTCTTAACATTAATTCTGTACCTCTTTTCAGTAAAAGAAATCTAATGTTACATTGCATCATATAAATGATTCATATTATTTAATCCTTAATTTGGGTGGGGGCAGCAAGAACACTGAGAAAAATCAGTTCGTTTGCTGCATGGTGCCAGAAAATTCCAAAGAAGTCAGAACTATCCACTCTAAACATCAGAAGAAATAATTTTAACCCAAACTTGAAAAGCGTTCTTGTGTGTGGTGTAAGAAAGTAGGCTTTAACTACAACAGAGCTATGTTGTACAATAATCTGTGATTGAAGAGGGAAAGATGGAAGGATTTTTATGCTGGTGGATTGTAATTACCTAATTGGAATATTAATTCTCTGTCTTCCTTTTGTTTAACTCCTTGATGGTACAACAAATTACAGAAAACAGGATGTGTTTATTTAAAAAAAAATCCAGTTCCCAGCACTGAGGAACAAATGCACATCTACTATTGAAACTAAGTACCACGGAAAACCAAAACAGCAAATGGAAGGATTAATAATTAAAAAAAAAAACTCATCGTATTGTGCAATAGGAAAAACAGGGAAAGCGTGTTTCAGGGTTTAGGTTTGCTCCCCTAGAACTGAGACTACTGAAAGGGAGTGAGTTAGTTGTACTTGTCAGTGCCCTTCCATCTTACTTTGTGAACTATACAGAGGTGGTGCAAGGTTCATACATTTACTAGACACCATTCCAGTGAAAATGCTGAAGTCCACATACCCACCCTCCCAGGTGAACTACAACGGCATTACTCACAATGGACAACTTCTCCCTTTGGCTTGTTTCCATAATGATCACAGAATCTTTTAGTACAGAATTCAGTTCTGTATCTATTGTGATCAAATGCCAAAGAAGAGGGAAAAAAGAGGCCATTTTAGCATTTTGAAATAAAGTGTTTAAAAAAAATCCTTCAGAAAAAAAATTATCTGGTTGAATTGAATCAGACTAGAAGAGACAGGACCATGCTTTCAGTCAGGTCTGTGTTTCTATTATACTGGACAGTAGAAAATATGCCCAATTATTAAATTTGTACACTAAGAGATTTCACACGTTCTCTTATGAATTCCAGTGGCAAGATGTACAAGAGACATGTTATTTACCAGTGTTTTTATTGATGCCCCACAGTTCTACCAAATGGAGAGAGAATATTTTATTTTATCATTTCTATTGGGATGCTGCTGTTCTGAAGAACCAGAGCTGTCTCTGATGTTTTATTTAGTACTTAAACTCCAAACCAACAAACAAAGGCTCTTATTAGAGAATTCTCTTTATAATTTGCCATGCTTTAAGATTCCATTCTGTGATTCATTAGCCAAGCCTTTTCTAAACGTTAGAGGATATAGTTCTTTGTATGTCTCAGGATTGTGTATTTAACTATTTCAATTCTATCTCTTCTTTTTAGTGGGTGCAATGAATACCTTAGATGTGAAATTTCCCATATGGGGGGACTGTGTCTGTGATTTTTTCTGTACAGAAGCCAGCACAGTTCTTAATACATGTTTTCTGACGATGATGCTGAAGAGGGAGAGGAAGATGACATCAGATTAAATGCGGCCAAATATTCTCAGAGAAGGATGCTTGCTTCAGTTTGTGCTCCTCTTAGATTAGGTGGGAGATAAATCAGTTGAAATCATGGTATGTAAGTCATATAGTCGTAGTTGCTAAAAAAGTCAGGGCTGGACTTGGTAACAAACACAGACTCTACCTTTTACTTCATTTTAATTAATTTTTGTTAGATTTTACAGGTATACTGAGATCCTATTTCTTAAATTCAGTGTTTTTGACAACACTCTAAACTTCGTGACATCTTGAAATTCAGGAAATATGTCTTCTTCACATCACCCAAAGGACAAAACTGTGAGTGAGAGATTAATGCCACAGCATACCTCCCTTCTGAATGTTGTCAGTCCACTCTTCTTCATTCACGTTGTGTTATGACTGTTCCCTGATTGTCTGCCTAATTGCTTTGGCAATCAGCCTCTGTCTTCCAGCTTACCCATTGTTCTCCTATCAGTCAGGATAAGCTAGGTTTATGCTGTGATGACAAACAGACCTAAAGTCTCAGTGGCTGTGTCCATTTTCTTCTGCTGCTTACAGTTTGTTACCAGTTCAGTAGCTTGTAACAACATACACTTCTTATCTCACAGTTTTAATGAATCAGAAGTGTGAGTATAGTTTACCAAAGTCTATTGCTCAGCATCTCATAAGGCTGCAAACAAAATGTTGACTAGGCTGTATTTTTTTCTAGAGGTTAGGGTACTCTTCCAAGTTCATGTGCTTGTTAGCAGAATTTAAATCCTGAGATTGTAACACCGAGGGCCCAGCTTTTTTGCTAGATGTTAGATAGGGGATAACCTTAGACCTAGAGCCCTCCTAGAGTGCCTTGCCACAGCGTCCTTCCCATGGGTGGTACCTATCATAGCAGCTTCCATCTTCCAGGCTAGAACGAGAGTCCCTTTCCTGTGGTCTGTTAAGGCAGAGTCCTCTATTTTGTGACACAGGCCCATCACCCTTGCCACACAGTATAACCTATTCAAGGGACTGGCTGTCCCTTCACCTTTGCCGTATTGTCTTGGTAAGAAGCCAAGTCACAAGTTCTGCCTACACTCAAGGAGAGGGGATCAGACAAGGGTGTGACTAGGACTCATTTCAGGATGTGCCTGACACAGTAGTTTTACA